AGTACAGTGCTGGCATATATACAGCAACTCTCTGTGACAGAAAAGGAAGGAAGACAAGACGATCAGGCATACATCCTTGAAGACTCCTGAATCCCTTTGTTTAATCTCCTTACGAAATATTTGAAACAAGGTCTGTAATTTGTGTTTGAGAAACGCCTTTCAGAAGATCTAGCAAAAAAGTCTCTGTACCATGGCCGAAACAATTAACAAATAACTCACAATACAGTTGCTAGAACAATTCACAACTAGTTCACTCTACCATGGCTAGAACAACTCAGAACTATCTCATAATATAGTTACTAGAACAATTCACAACTAGCTCACAATACCGTGGCTGGAGCAAGTCACAGCGAACTTACAACTAATTCACAGTACTGTGGCCGGAACAATTCATTACTAACCAACAAAAACAATTCAGAATTAACTTTCAGTACCGTAGCTGGAGCAGTTCACAACTAATCCACAATATTGCGACTGTAACACTTCACAATTCGGCCATAAATTCAGAATTAAAGTAGATGATCCTTCATTGATTGAAACGTGTTATAGTTTTCTTTCAGTTTGTGGGTCAGTTGTGGGTCAGTTGTGGGTCAGTTGTGGGTCAGTTGTGGGTTAGTTGTGGGTCAGTTGTGGGTCAGTTGTGGGTCAGTTGTGGGTTCAGTTGTGGGTCAGTTGTGGGTCAGTTGTGGGTCAGTTGTGGGTCAGTTGTGGGTCAGTTGTGGGTTAGTTGTGGGTCAGTTGTGGGTCAGTTGTGGGTCAGTTGTGGGTCAGTTGTGGGTCAGTTGTGGGTCAGTTGTGGGTCAGTTGTGGCAGTTGTGGGTCAGTTGTGGGTCAGTTGTGGGTCAGTTGTGGGTCAGTTGTGGGTCAGTTGTGGGTCAGTTGGGGTCAGTTGTGGGTCAGTTGTGGGTCAGTTGTGGGTCAGTTGTGGGTCAGTTGTGGGTCAGTTGTGGGTCAGTTGTGGGTCAGTTGTGGGTCAGTTGTGGGTCAGTTGTGGGTCAGTTGTGGGTCAGTTGTGGGTCAGTTGTGGGTCAGTTTGGGTCAGTTGCTGGGTCAGTTGTGGGTCAGTTGGGGTCAGTTGTGGGTCAGTTGTGGGTCAGTTGTGGGTCAGTTGTCAGGTCAGTTGTGGGTCAGTTGTGGGTCAGTTGTGGGTCAGTTGTGGGTCAGTTGCGGGTCAGTTGTGGGTCAGTTGCGGGTCAGTTGTGGGTCAGTTGCGGGTCAGTTGTGGGTCAGTTGGGGTCAGTTGGGGTCATTGTGGGTCAGTTGTGGGTCAGTTTGGGGTCAGTTACGAACGTTCTTTTGGGTCAGCTTGGTCATACGGACGTTTTTTGTGGTCAGCTTGTCAGTTCGAACGGTTCAGTTTTGTTCAGTTGTCATCGACGTCTTGGGTCCTCAGTTGTCATTGCGGTACGTTGTGGTATTGTCGTCAGTTGTCGTCAAGTTGTGGGTCTGATGCGGGTCAGAGACACTAGACGTCTTTGTCCTCAGCCTTGTCATACGAACGTTCTTTTTTCCTCAGCCTTGTTATACGAACGTTCTTTTGTCCTCATCTTTGTTAAACGAACGTTCTTCTTTGTCCTGAGCCTTATCATACGAACGTTCTTCTTTGTCCTCAGCCTTGTCATACGAACGTCCTTTTGTCCTCAGCCTTGTCATACTATCATTCTTCTTTATCCTCAGGCTTGTCATACGATCATTCTTTTTTGCCCTGATCGTCATTAAATGTTCGTGTTTCTTGTCTGCTGTCCTTGTCAGTACCAAAAACACCAGATACAGTGGTAGGAATTGCTCATTCTGGTGTTTACCTGGAGTTTACCTGGAGAGAGTTCCGGGGGTCAACGCCCCCGCGGCCCGGTCTGTGACCAGGCCTCCTGGTGGATCAGAGCCTGATCAACCAGGCTGTTACTGCTGGCGTAGTCAAAGATTATTCACGAAATTTAAACTTTTTATTGCAGTTGTGTGTGGGATGGTAACAGTGGAGCCGCGAGCAAGAGAATTAGCTTAAATTAGCTTCTTGTATTTTAATTAGCCAATCACTTAGCTTATCAAGATAAATGAGGTGCTCATATATCTTTCGCACTGCCAGGGACTGCATCCTTCGACCTTGGGTAGTGTATGTGTACTCACCTATTTGTGGTTGCAGGGGTTGAGACATAGCTCCTGGCTCCGCATCTTCACTGATCGCTACTAGGTCCTCTCTCGCCCTGCTCCATGAGATTCATCATACTTCGTCTTAAAACTATGTATGGTTCCTGCCTCCACTACATCACTTGCCTGGCTATTCCACTTCCTGACAACTCTATGACTAAAGAAATACTTTCTAACATCTCTTTGACCCTTCTGAGTTTTCAAGTTCCAATTGTGGCCCCTTGTTTCTGTGTCCCATCTCTGGAACATCCTGTCTCTGTTCACCTTGTCAATTCCTCGCAGTATTTTGTATGTCGTTATTATATCCTCTCTAACCCTCCTGTCCTCTAGTGTCGTCAGACCGATTTCCCTTAACCTTTCTTCCTAGAACATTCCCCTTAGCTCTGGAGCTAGCCTTGTTGCAAACCTTTGAATTTTCTCTAATTTCTAGACGTGCTTGACCAGGTGTGGATTCCAAACCGGTGCTACGTACTCCAGTATGGGCCTGACGTGCACAGTGTACAGAGTCTTGAACGATTCCTTACTGAGATATCGGAACGCTGTTCTCAGGTTTGCCAGGCGCCAATATGCTGCAGCAGTTATTTGGTTAATGTGAGCTTCAGGAGATGTGCTCGGTATTATACTCACCCCAAGATCCTTTTCCTTGAGTGAGGTTTGCAGTCTTTGGCCACCTAGCCTATACTCTGTCTACGGTCTTCTTTGCCCTTCCCCAATCTTCATGACTTTGAGTTTGGCTGGGTTAAATTCGAGGAGCCAGTTGCTGGACCAAGCTTCCAGCCTGTCCAGGTCTCTTTGTAGTCCTGCCTGGTCCTCATCTGATTTAAGTTCACATCACCTGCAAACAGGAACACTTCTGAGTCTATCACATATACCAGAATAGCAC